TGTTGATCTTCTATATATGTTCATATATTAAGTTCTCTATTTTATCTTTACTCTTCTTATTCGAATCTGCTCTTGGATAATTGGTTTTTGTATGGTTTTGACGCACAAGTTCCAACAACAACACAAAAACATGAATTAAAGACATTTGTGGTTTGTTCAAAACTGAATGGTTTGTCCTCGTTCAGAGAACATAAGGACCAAAGAGTTTGAAGCATATCAATCACCTAACAAAGGATAGTCAAAAGCTTATAGCCATAGAAATGTATATACATATGCCTTTGGATCAGAAAGTAAGGTTTGAAAAACGCCAATGAGTTTTCCTACTGCTTGCAAAACTTGATGTCAAAAAGCATTCTGCTGAGACTAAAATCTATAAGAAAATATCTCATATAACACACAAACTTTGCATTGAGTCACAGAAGATTTGTTGCCTTTGAGAGAAACATCAACGAAAGTGCATTAATTGAAAGAGACAAAATTAACCAACCATGATTCAATATCAGAGAATGATCAAGAGAAAGAGATATTCATTCATGAACATTGGAGATCAGCATCCAGTCAAAACAGAAAACTTATGAAGATAATCAACAATCCAAAGAAGATATGGTCATTAAAACAAAATAGGATATTTGTTATTACAAATTAGATAGCCAACTATTCATGGACCGATGACTCTTATTTGATTTCTCTTTCCCATACCTAAAACATGAGAGGAATGAAGAATCATGTTACATATTGATAACCGTTTTTTCTTTTTCTAGAAGCACAAATTAAGAATCTCACCTCAGTTCTTTTCTTATTTAACCTCTCAAACGTTTCAGTATAGAGGTCATGGAGATAGTTGCTCTCCTGTTCGATTTTCGTGAGTCTTCTGCCATATAACCGACAATTGTTTCCTATATAATATATTAGAAATATTAAGGGCTACAATACAAATAAGTAAATAACTAACAAGGACATCATTAGTATTTAAAGGACCAAAAATGTATTTTTTTTTAAGTAAAACACATTATGATATTTTAGTTCAACCAAATTGAATTTGCAAAACAAATTAATCCGGACCAACATTTTATATTTAACACTACGTACTTATGAACATTTAGTAAACAAACCAATGTACGTATAAATTCAATCTTCTTTTTTCCCCTGTTTCCAGTCAAACACTTATTTTGGGCCTTTGGGTCCTTGTTAGAAAACATCTTGCACTCATTATAATTTATAAGTAATTGGATCTCTTGCAAAAATATACCATGACTACAACTTTGTCATAATCTATTAAGCTTGTTCATATATAAATACACGAGAGACAGAAACAAGGCATAAGCAGAACCACTTGCATGTTGTGTCCTCATGTGGCTTGCAAGAAGTTGATGTTCTCTCTCAGATAATATTGGTAGGAGTGTGTAAAACAAGTTAGGTCATAAATAATTCCCGTGTCTTTGTAAATTAGGTCTTGGCCCATTTTAGTGTAATGGATCCGTCATAGTAGTTTAATTTCTTGTCGACGTTGACACAAATCAAACCGTAATCCACTA